AGGAGCAAAATTCTTGCCTCTATAATATCACAGTTCTTTAAATAGTAATAAAAAGAAAAAGATAAAAAGAAAAAAAAGGGTAACAAAATTCTTGCCTCTATATTTAAAACATGAACTATATTCAACTTTTAACTTTGTTGCAAAATCAAACAAGAAAGACAGTCACCATTTTGCCTTTCACTTTCACTTTCTTCAAAGGGAAAGTAAACAATAAAAGGGGGAGAAGATGCTTGCAGGAGTTAAAGTCACAATCAATCTTAAATCCACTTTCTCCTGGTCTGCTCTGTCTGCATTTAAGCACTCACAAGCCTCCGAAAAAAGCAGATGTGGGAGTGGCGCCTTGCTTCATCCCAGCACTTTGGGACAAAGATGTCCTGGAGCGCGGAGTTGGCTCAGACTCTGAGGGAGCTCTACCCTCCGATCCCCAAAATTATAGGGATCCAGGGGAGCTCTTACCTCTACCTGAGCAGCTCTTCTCTTCCCTTTCTCCTAGGGAGGAGATTCAAGCCGCGGGACAGCTGATTGTCAAAGTCCCGCCGGCTTTTACACGATCCAGGAATGGGCGGCTTTGTGAAAAGCTGCCATCGTCACTGCTTGAGCCACCGGAAGTCCTTAATCAAATACTTTTGATCCTTTAAAGCAATATGAGTCTCTTGCAAACATATAACATCATTCTTGTGTTGTTTCAAGTAATAAAATACTTTCTTTCTTTTCTGTGGTGAATTCAATCCATTAACATTCCATGTAAGAAACTTTGCCATTTTTAGTGGCCTGAAGCCTTTGGAACACCGCATGTAAATCTGCAGTTGATGACCTCTTCGGTCTTGTTCCTTCCACTGGCTCTGAGATAACCACTTGTTTTGTAGATCCAACATCTACCTTTTGCTGCTCTTTTTCTTTATGTTTATAAGCTGCACGAGTCATTCTTTGTTCCTTTGGGTCATCTTTTATCTCCAAACACTGTTGCATAGATTCAACCAACAATTCTTCTCCTACTAATGACATTGCTCCTACAGCCAACTGTCCTTCAAACTTGCCTTCATTTGTTTTAGATTGTGGAGATGGTGGTGCACCTGCCTTAAGAACAGAAGCATAAAAATCTCTTGCTTTTAAAATTGTATTAAGTCTGTAACGTGTCCCAACATAGTTCACCACTATTCCAACAGGTACATCCCATCTAAACTGAATATGTCGTTTCTTCAGCTCCTCAGCCAGAAAATCAAAGTCCTTTCTTTTTCTGAGAATTTTTGGAGGTATTTCTTTCAAAATTATAACATCTTGAGCTGCAATTTGAAATCTCTGCTTGTAAAAAGCCTGTATAATTTCATTACAAAGTGATCTTCTGGAAAAATAAATAACCACATCTCTTGGCAAATTTCTCTGCCTCGCAATCCATGAATTGACCCTAAAAAATTTTTCTATATCTTTCAACATTTCTTCAGGTTCACACCCCAAAATGGAGGCTAATTCTGCAGCAATTTCTTCTTTCAGATTCTCTTGCACGTTCTCCTTCAACCCTCTTATTCGCAAAGCAAATTCCATATCTCTATATTGTGACATAATAATTTCATTCTGCACTGTATCAGCATCCTTTTCAATTTTTCCAACTCTGTCCTCTAATCTTTCAACACTTCCCACCACCTCATTCACATGCTCATCAAGGCGTTCTACATGAGCTGCAAGTCCCTGGAGAGCCAGCACAATATCTTCTCTCATCTCATTATTTTTCTGCTCCAAAAGCTCTGCTGTCTCATGTTTAATCTGTTGTGCAGTTTTCTCCAAAGCATCTTGTAAAAAATCCTGTAAATCTTTAAGTGTGAATGCCTGAGATGGGGGGAAGGTGGAGGAGACTTAGGTTTAGATTGCTGTACAGCCTGAATTACTGGAGAAGAAATTGAGCCTTTAGGAGGAGAAGAAATTCCAGGGCATTTTGAAGCCATTTTCCAACTTACAAAAAAACCCTCTTCTTATAGCAAAATAAAATAAGGGGATAATAAAAAAAATCCCCATACAAAAAAAAGGAAGCTGACTCTTTAAATAAGCAGGGTCCGTTACATTGTATAAACTTTGTTGCCAAATGAAAGTGAAAGTCTTTCTTACAAATATCCTTTCAGACAAAGAAACAGGATTCCTCCGCCATTTTTTCCTCCCTCCTTTTGTTAAAATAATAGGTGAAGAAGATATTAATTCTTTCTTGAGTTAAAATTTCAAATCATCACAATTCTGATCCTCCTGAACAGCTCCGTCAGCTTTTAGTTTTACTCACGATTCTCTTTAAGCAGCAGATGTGGAAGCAGCATCTAGCTTCGTTCCGAAGAACAAAGGCGTCCTGGGATGTGGAGATGATTCAGACCCCGAGGGAGTTCACACCCTTCGTCTCCCCAAAATAAAATTTTGGGAGATTAGAGGAACTCAACCTCTATCTGGAAAAAACCCACCTTCTTCCCTTCTCCTGGGAAGAGAGGCTTCAAGCTGCAAAACAGCTGATGATCGCTGTTTTTGCTGGCTTTTACGCATTCCCGAGGCGGACGGCTAAGAAAAAGCCACCATCAGCGCGGCGATTGCCACCGGAAGTCAATTGTTATCTTTTTTAGATAGTATGAAGGCCTCACAGTCAAAGAAATTCACTTGCTGTACACTTCACCACAAGATGTCCCCGGTAGCATAGAGAGACAAGTTAGGCTTTTATCCAGTTAAAAAAAAAATTCCTCCAACGTAACAAATAGATAAGGTAATAGGTCCCTGTAACAATAGGAACTTTTTGGGACCCCAAATATCTAAAAAGTACATGTCCAGTTATTTAATTGTTTAGATTAGTTGTTCTTTTCTTTTCAAATCTTTAGTTCCCCAGGGTAGGCAGATGCCGCTATTTTAAAAGCGGAGAAAGAAATTTCAGGAGGATTTTACAGGAAGGTAGTTGGGATACAAGAAAGGTAAGGTAAGGTCTCACCCAATTCCTCTACGATGCTTTCATTGTGCTTGGTGGTGATTTTGGCTTTCGGTTGACATGGCTTAGTGATTGGCCATGTTAATAGCCTATCCTTTCTTCGATGGTCCAAAGGAGCTGCCTTGGATCAAATGGAAGAGTTACACCCTTCCATAATCTGTTGAGGGTCCTCCTCACTGTCATTGCCCCTCCAGGGTGACTTATAACCCTTTTCAGGGTCTCCTGACGAAGGGAAACTGGGCGGTGGAGAGAGTGCTCCCAACGCACGTCTGCTGGCACCGTGATCCGGAACTGGAACCCAAATTTGCATAAATGTTTGATTTTCAATATGTGTTTTAGAAAATATTTTATGCAAAAATGTTCATTCAATCCATCAAAAAGGTCAATACTGTTCATGTCACCTAGTTCATTGGATATGGGAAAAGCAGCCTTCAAATTAGAAATACTAGCTTACATGCAATAGTTTCAGTAGTTTGGCATAAAATTGTCAGGTGCAAATAGCTAGACTCACATGTGAAGAGTTTAATTAGCTGTTTCATTGCTCAAGCCTATATATAGAAATCTCCTCAGATTGATGTTTTGCACCCAGTTGAAAGCAGATAAAGTTCAACAGCATTCAAAGAAGATTGGACTTCGCCCTCTTGTGCCTATTTAAAGACTCTAAGCTAATTCCTCCTTTGAATTTTTCCCTTGGCCTGGGCAGTCTCTCTCCTACAAAAACTGGGCTTTAATGATTCCTAAGGCATAGTGGCCAAAATGTGCCAAAACTGATTGGTATTGTGTACTTACATGGGAGTTTGGCACATTACATGAGTATACCATGTTTTCCCCAAAATAAGAGGTACCAGGCCTTATTTTCGGGGGATGTCTTACACATTTATCTTAGGCCCACTGCAGCCAGGCCTCCCACTCCCCTACAACTTTTGCGCCTCTGCCCAAGTTCTTCTGCAGCCACCTGCCTCATCGTGCCACTCATGCCGCTGCCGCTGCTCGCGGCAGGAGGTTGCATGGCTCATTGTACCAATCGTGCTGATTGCACTGCTGCTGCCACTTGCAGCAGGATAGTGCTGTGATCAGCAGCAGTGGCACAATCAGCATGATGAGCCATGTGGCCTCCTGCCACGAGAGGTGATAGCAGCGCGAACAGCATGACGACTCATGTGGCGTGCTGCTGCGAGTGGTGGAAATGGCATGATTGTCATGGCAAGCCATGTGGCTCCTTTCTTCAAGTGATGGTGCCAGCACAATGTACCACGTGGCATGCAGCCAGAAATGGTCACAGAAGAAATTGGGCAGCAGCGCGACAGGTGTCAGGGTGTGAGAGGCCTGGTTGCAGTGGTCCTAAGATAAGCGGTTGTGGGGCATGTGGGGCAGCTCCACTCCCCCATCCCCACCCTAGCTTGATTTTTACATGTGCACCTCGCCCCAAAACTAGGGCTTATTTTGGGGGTAGGACTTATATTAGACGCACATGTAAATTTCAAGTTAGGTCATATTTTTGGGATAGGTCTTATTTACAGGATAGGTCTTATTTTGGGGAAAACATGGAAATAAAGGCTGGTAACCAAGCACCAAAAATGTTCCAGCAGTTTTATCCATCCTACTTATTTGTTGTTCTGCTTCTTTCAGCCCCTAGGCTTTATTGAGCAGGATCTCTCCCAGCTTCCACCTCCCAACTTCCTAGGCTCTCTAGAGTGAACAGAAATGCATTCTGGGGAAGGGGTGGTGTTAAGTAGTTAGATAGATTTCACATTAATGCAACATGTTCAATTGAAATTTCAAAAACTCCTAGAAATTATAGGGACAGAATAATCTTTACTTTTCATTTTCTATTGTAACTATGTAAGTTGAGCTAATTAGCATTTTTCCTATTTGTTGTTTTATTTGTATTCATTTACAAAAAAACTGTATTTTTGGAAAAACTACTGAGCAAAACAGGCTGTACATTCTTAGCACAGTTTCAAGCATAAATCTTCATAAAACTACAGGGTTTTTTTCACTAGTATTTTGTTATTGAGAATAGTTTCATTCAATTTATCTTCTTACCTTTTAGGAGAACACAAAATCCACTTCATCCCAGCACTGATTGGCCCTTTTTTAGAAGTGACACTGATACCTCAGCCTGACCTGCGGAATGTTATGATTCCTATTTTTCATGATATGATGGACTGGGAGCAAAGACACAGTGGTAACTTTAAACAGGTATTTTTGTCAATTCATTAGGGGAAGATAAATTAATTTTTCAAGCTAATCATTCTTAGACAACAATACATCATTATGTTATGCTTGCTTACTTGTTTCATTTAAAATTATAATCTAATCAATTATTTTCCTGAGTTAGTACTGTATATGTTAATTTTACAAATGGTAAAAAGGAAAAAAAGTGTGTGCGCTTGACAAATGGATAAGGTTATTTATGATCATCAAACACACAATTTACTACCAGCACTAGAGAATAGAATAGAATAGAATAGAATAGAATAGAATAGAATAGAATAGAATAGAGCTGGAAGGGACCTTGGAGGTCTTCTAATCCAGTCCCCTGCTCAAGCAGGAGAACCTATATCATCTCAGATAAGTGATTGTCTTGTCTTTTCTTAAAAACTTGTGATGGAGTGCCCATGATTTCTGAAGGCAAGTTGTTCCACTGGTTAATTGTCCTCACTGTTAGGAAGCTTCTCCTTAATTCCAGGTTGCTTCTCTCTTTGATCAGTTTCCAATTTATGGGTTTTACAAAATGGCCTAGTTGTTTGTGAATTTTATAAATGTTTGCCTGGCCTAACTTCACTTTATAGGTAGTCTTTAAGTTGCACTCCCTTTAAGAGAGTGCTCCTAATCTCAGCTTGTTATCTGTATAAAAGACAACTGGGAGCCAGAAAGCTTGCTGATAAATAGTGGATCAAATACTTATTTCACTCATTAAAATGCAAATCAAATGAAAAAAATATTTGATTCCCTGCTGATTTTGTATGTTTGTCCACTGACAAAGAAATGATTAGTCTATAATTTTAATAGTAGGTTTATTTTAACAGTGAGAGAATAACAACAACAAAAAAACCCAGAAAAACACATTTCAAAAAAGTTATAAATTGATTTGCATTTTAATGAGTGAAATAAGTATCTAATCCCTTATCAGTCAGCAAGATTTTTGGCTTCCAGGTGTCTTTTATACAGGTAACGAGCTGAGATTAGGAGCACTCTCTTAAAGGGAGTGCTCCTAATCTCAGCTTCTTAACCTTTATAAAAGACACCTTTCCACAGAAGCACTCAATCAATCAGATTCCAAACTCTCCACCATGGCCAAGATCAAAGAGCTGTCCAAGGATGTCAGGGACAAGATTGTAAACCTACATAGGGCTGGAATGGGCTACAAGACTATCATCAAGCAGCTTGGTGAAAAGGTGACAACAATAGGTGTGGGATTAATTGCACAAAAATGTCCATGGGCATCTCTCACAAGGGCCTGAGATAACAAACGGACCGCTCTAGACACAGGATGCATTCATCAACCATTTGGACAGACTCTGATAAGAACACCTGCTATAGCCTTGCATCTGGAAAGTGTCTGTTATTTGATATATTGTAACCACCCCTATATACGTCTTTTGCTTACGCTGTGTGATGTAAAAACCTTAGTAACAATAAAATAGGGTGCAAGAGTCAGCTCTGGGCTCCCATCCCGAGATACCTGCTGCGTGCGTGTCTCATTCTCCATGGGAGACCACCTCATCTGGTGACCCCGACGTGATCCACTGAGGGATACGTCCCTGCCGACCTTTTACTTATCTCCTGGAATAGGCTTGGTGCACCTGACGAAGTTGCTGGCAACTGACTCCTCTTCGTAAGTATGGGGGGTGGAATGTCTCACGCTCAAAAGCAGCATGTGGAAGAGCTGAGGCTACTTGGCAGGAAAAAATATCTTACTGATCAGGAACAGAAATTAACCCGTCACCTTTCTAAATCTGAGGCTGTTAAATTGCTTGCTTATGTATGGGCTAACTGCTCATCCTATCCGGAGTCTGGATCTTTAAAAGTAGATACATGGAGGAAAATTGGCACCGTTCTCCATCAGTCTCCAAGAGCCCCCCCAGAGATTTTGTGCCTTTGGAAAATTGCCTATACTCTGATTCAAACCTATGCTGACTCGCCTCATCAGCCTTTATTAGATCCTCCACCGTATAAAAATCCGTCTGTTATGTTGGCCACTCCCTTGGCCCCTGGAGCAGGTTTTAACCCTCCCTCTGCCACTGCAAATTCTACAGCCTCTCCTGTTCCTGCCACGTTGCCGCCTCTCTCCCGGCCCGGAATCATCCGTGGTGCTTTTCAAAAGGCTTTAAACAATGGTGATTTAAGCGTTTCTGAACTATCCGAGACAGAGTTGTTCCCTGTTACTTACCAACAGACTGCAACAGTTGATTGGGAGGCACTTCCCCTGGCTATGATCAGAGACTTGAAAAAGGCTACAAAAGATTATGGCATAACCAGTCCCTATACTAGAGGACTAATACATTCAATTGCTAGTGCATATCGAATGTTGCCTCAAGATTGGAAAGATCTGTTCCGCATGCTTCTTAACGGAACACAATACGTAGTCTTTGAATCTGAATATAAAAGAGAGGCACAAAAGAGAGCTAATCACCCAGGTTCACAATGGACAGCAGAACAACTCTTTGGAGAAGGCAATTTTGCTACCCTTAATGCTCAAGCTCAAACTTTTACTCCCTTTGCATTTCCTATCATTAATGCTTGTGTTCTTTCTGCCATGGCTCGTGTTGATGAGTCTGGCACCCCGATTCAATCTTTTTCTGCCATTCACCAAACTGCAACTGAATCCTATGCAGACTTTGTGAATCGCTTGCAAGTTGCCATTGAGCGTCAAATTTCAAACAGAGATGCAGCAATTGAAATCCTTATAAAATTGGCTTATGAACATGCAAATGCAGACTGCCAGTCCATTCTTAAACCAATTGTTTCCAGTCCCACGGCCACTCTGGCAGACTTTCTTAAAGCCTGTCGCATTGTGGGAACCAATGCTTTTCAAATGGACACTCTTGCAGCTGCAATCCAAAAGGGGAATCAACCCCAAGGCACTTGCTTTAATTGTGGGAAATCTGGTCATTTTAAAAAACAATGCAGAGCTCCAGGAGGCGGCGCAGCTCGACCCGCTGCCATCCCCGGAGCCAAGCCCAAAACTGTGTGCCCAAAATGTAAAAAGGGTTTTCATTGGGCCAATCAGTGCCGTTCCTCTCAGTCTAATCGGGGAAACTAACAAAGGGGTCTGTAGCTAACCCCTCTCCAAAGGCTGCATCCTTTTCAGATCTTACTCCAGCTTCGCAATGTTTTTCTGGCATTGATTTAAAATTGGCTTCTGATCTTTCTGTTACTTTTCCTAACCTACTCACGGTTGCTGAAACCCTTTATTCTGGACCCTTGCCTCCGGAAACGGAGGCAATAATCCTTCCCATACCTGTTGCTCGGGAACAAGGAGTGTTTGTGCTTCCAGGTTTGATAGATCCCACATATAAAGACACCCTAAAAGTCCAATTTTATACCAATCTCCCTGTCACAATGAACCAGGGGGATACGGTGGCACGCTTGGTCTTATTACCACGTCCAGCACCACCCATTCCAGAGGCTGCATATGCACCTCACTCTGGGAATTCTTCCTTTGATTTATTGGCACTAACAAAGCAAATTACTCCCCAAAAACCGGTGATGCCTTTTTTAATCAATGGCATTCTTTTTTCTGGTCTTGTAGACTCTGGTGCGGATGTCTCAGTCATAAGAACAGCTGAATGGCCCTCTAACTGGCCTCTTGAATCCTCGCCGGCAGTCAGGGGAGTGGGAGGTCTCCAACAGGCAAGCTCCAGTAAAAATTGGCTTACTGCACAACGAATCACAAAAGGCATTTCTGCTAAATTTAAACCTGTCGTCCTCCCTCTTCACACAAATTTATGGGGCAGAGACTTACTCTCTCAATTTAATGCGAAGTTAACTCTGGAAGACTAACAATGCCTCCTTCAGCCATGAAGCTTACGCTCCTTTCTGACACCCCCGTGTGGGTGGACCAATGGCCACTCACTTTAGAAAAACAGGAAGCATTGCAGAAACTGGTATATCAGCAAATACAATCTGGCCATTTGGAACCAACTACCAGTCCTTATAACACCCCAGTATTTGTAGTCAAGAAGAAATCAGGCAACTGGAGAATTATTCATGATTTACGCCTCATTAACAAAATAATTAAACCCATGGATCCGCTACAGTGCGGAATGCCCAACCCAAATATGATCCCCAAAGACTATGATTTGGCAATTATTGATTTAAAAGACTGTTTTTTTTACCATTCCTTTACACCCTGATGACAAACAACTTTTTTCCTTTTCTTTGCCTCAAACTAACATGTCCCGACCTACTCCTCGCTATCAATGGACTGTTCTTCCCCAAGGCATGCTTAACAGCCCCACCATATGTCAAGCTTTTGTGGACACTGCCTTGATGCCTTTTCACAAATCCTATCCTAACTTTTTGCTTTATCACTATATGGATGACATTCTCCTAGCTGCCCCGGGTCCTCCTGGCACAGTACAAACTGTCCTACCCCAACTCATTCAGCTTTTAGCTTCTTATGGCTTTATTGTTGCCCCAGAAAAAGTTCAGACCCAATCTCCCTTTTTATATCTGGGACACAAAGTCCTAGCCTCTCATTCTGTTCCAGTACTCCCTGCCATCCACCTTCCTTCTCCTCTCACTTTAGTTGCTTTACAACAAATCTTGGGCACCATAAATTTTGTGCGTCCATTTCTTGCACTCACCACTGCCCAATTGGCACCCTTATTTTTGGCTTTGCGAGGCCACACTTCCCCCTCCTCTGTTGTTGTTCTTAACCCTACTCAAAAACATGTTTTTGCCTTAATCAATAGTGCCCTCTCCACCCGATGGGTGGACCGGGCCATTCCCAATGAGCCTTTGTCTTTGGCCATATTTAATACTCCTTCTATTCCTACAACTGCCCTTCTGCAACATCAAAAGGGGAGCGTCTCCATTGTTGAATGGATTCACCTCCCCAATACCCCTCGCAAATCTATCAATCCACTGCCATATATGTTTGCTCTTTTAATTACAAAGGGCCGTTTTCGAGCAAAATGTTTAATTGGATTTGATATTGTTTTTTTATATGTCCCCATGTCTCTTACTATATG